GGACACAATGGATTTCCTGGTTCCGAGGTGGGGGGGGGGGATGATGTTTTTCCAAAGAATTATTTTGTTTAGACAGGCTACCACTGTTATGAATTTTTATCTGTTACCAAAGCCTGCACAAAATTTCCCAAAGGGAGAGACATTAATATTGAGAACCATTAAAAATGAAAGTGAAAAGGTGCTGGAGAAGAGTGGTCCGCAGTTTTGAAAGGCTGGAACTTTGTCCAGCAGCAATGGTCGCCATGTGGCCCACGCCAGGACCAAGTAATTAATAGTTTCTAGCAAGCTTTTCTTTCTCACTTAACTGACTGCTCTTGGGTCACACATGTAGCATCACTGATTTCTCCTTTTTCTGCCTAAAAACTGTGGTTTGCATATTCCTGTTTGGCCTGCCAGTTGATCAGCTGATGGTCATTTGTGTTGTTTTAGTTTTGGTCTGTTGTAAAGGATGCATACAAGGCTTTCTTCTTTGGTTTTTTGTTTTGTTTTGTTTTGTTGGATCTCACTGTGTAGGTAGCCCTGGCAGGTCTGGAACTGGCTTTGTAGACCACTGACCTCAAAGGCTCAGAGACCCGAGAACTGGAATGTGTGAGCTCACCATTCATATGTGTGCATTACCAGGTGTGGTACAAGGGTGTTTATTTGTTTTTGTTTGTTGTCGTTCCCCCCCCCCCCACTCAGAGACAGGATTTTCTCTGTGTAACAGCCCTGGTTATTCTGAAACTCACTTTGTAGACCAGGCTGGCCCCAACTCATAGAGATTCCAGAGATTCTTTTGCCTCTGGCTGGCGATTAAAGGCATGCACCACCATAACCCTGCCGTGTTTTGTTTTTAAATATATATGTGGGGACATCATGCTATTGTTTCTCTAGCTGGAATTCCTGAGTGCAGAATGGTCTGTACCCCCGTGTGGGCATTTGAGTAACTACTGAGCTGTTTCTCACGGGGTGTACCATTTTCTTTACCCACTCACAGTCCGCAGGTTCCGTGCCAACGTCTGGTGCCCTCGGTAACCATCCTAATTGGTTCAAAGTGATATCTTGTTGCTTACGTGGTATTTAGTTCTCCTTTTCCCAGTGATTAAAGATGTTGAATGTACTTGTAGGATCCAGGGCAGCTTGGTGCACACCTGCCAAGATAGGCTGTATAGACCAGCAGGAAGGTAGGCCTGAGTCTCAGTTTACCTTATGGCAATACATGGTTCCAGTAGAGAACACGAACTGAGACCACCCATGCTCCACCCAGGTACAGACCATCCAAAGAAAATTCCTAAAGTTCCAGCCATTGTAAATAGGATCACTTGGTGTCCCTTAGCCCAGCACACACTGTCCCTTTTTCACCAGGGCACCTCTAGGCAAATGTCAGCCAATCAGGGGTCCTGAACCTTAAAAAAAATCCCTCTGCTACTATAAAAACCCCACCCCAGCTGTTCTCAGGGCTCTCCAATTGTGCCAATACCTTGGGTACACTGAGAGTCTGAGTTCAGTTCATGAACTTGTGTAAGAATAAAGGCTCTTTGCTTTTATATATGGGACTCAGTCTCCTTGTTGGTTTTTGGGGGACTCTGTGGATCTGGGTATAAAGTGTATTTTTCTTTTTTTTGTTATTAGAACTGGCATGTGTCCTTGGCAAAAATTTTATTTTGATTGGGAAGAAAGGGAAGAAGGAAGGGAGGGAGAAAGATGAGAAGGAAGGAAGGAGAAAATGAAAGGAGGGAGGGAGAGAGGAAGAAGAGAAGAAAGGAGGTGGTACTAGCCTTTAGGGTGACCATGTTGCTCTCCTTTCCTTGTGTATGTGGGGAGGGTGCATGTTTATGTGTGTGTTGGTGCACACGTACATGCATGTGGAGATCTGAAGTCAGCCTCTGGTATTGTTTCTCTGGAGCCGAGCAAACATCATGTTTTTAGACACAGAGTCTCTCACTTCCCAGGTAGGCTGGGTCTCAGGGGTCTGACAGTTTCATTGACACTGGGGTTAGAAGTCACCACCATGTCCAGCTTTTTATGTGCCTTTGGTGTATAGAACTCAGGTCTGCAGGTGGCTGGGCAAGCACCTTTCTTACTGAGCTATCTCCCTAGGCCTGAGTGATTAATATTGTAAACAGACTTGCTGCATACTTTCTTAGCTCGAATGCCTGCTTTCTGATCGCCGTTGGTCTGAGTGCTCTGCATTGTGTGTGTGTGTTACTGCTGATCATCAAGTCCTCTCATGGGACCAAGGATGTAAGGATGTTATCCTAAAACCTGCCATTATCCTCCTGTCCCTCCGAGACATGCATCTTCTTATCTTCCCCGAGACAGACCCCTGAAGTCATAACAGCTTTCTTCCTAATGGGAATTACGGAGGTGAATGCTAAGGTGGTTCTCTGTGTGCTGGTAGCTTCCTTTGTTTCACATTCTGCTTCCTATGAGAGAAAAGGCCATTCCTGGAAATACAGTTGCTTTTGATTGGAGCCCGAGATGGCTCTGAACCCCCTTCAGAGGAGTTCAGAGGCGCACGTTCTGTTCCTGTTGCTGTGATACAATCCAGTGAGCAAAACTTGCCTCCAAGTCCATCATGGTGGGGAAGTCAAGGTGGCAGAAGCCTAAGCAACTGGTCACATTCCATCCACAATCAGGAACACAGAGCAGTGAATCCTGGCTCACCCTCTCCATTGTATACAGTTCAGGATGCCAGCCCAGGGAGTGCTTTCACCCATAGTTAAGATGAGCCTTGCCACGCATCAGTGTAATCTAGATAATCCCTCACAGGCTTGGCCAGAGGCCCGTCTCCCAGGTGAATCTGGATGCCAGCCTCTCCCTGATCTGGAATAATTTGGCTGGCTTAGCCCTCATTTTACGCCTAGAATGTACCATCTGGGTAGTTTGGACCTTTCCAAAGCAAAGCCTCCTACCGAAGGCCTGGTCTTCGCTCTAGTTTTTGCTCAGGCCTGTCCTGTGACTTAACCCCTGTCATCCTTCATTAATCTCATCAGTAAGGTTAACTGAGGAAGAGGATGGGACTTCCTGTCTGAAGGTTTATGCTTAATCTTGTCAGCAGTTAAGATCAGTCTCTAAAATGGTCACAGAAAACACCCAGAAGGTCCCCTTTTGGCTATGGCACCCTGCTAACACAGCCAGGGAAAGTCCCCTCAGATCTGAGGTGATAATGGGTGGATTATCTAGAAGGAAGTGCTGCTTCATGTACTGGGGGAGGGGGGATGGTGTTCAGAGTGTTAGCCCTCTGAAGGTGGGTGTTCCATCTTGCTCACATTCAGTCCCCAGGCCTAGGGGCGACAGGTACTCAGTCTATAGAGGGAGGATGCCATTCCACTGGCCACCATTGTGCCCCCAAGACAAGGACATGTAGCCATCAGATACTTTATTGTCCCCCTGTGGTCATTGTCTGCCTGTTTTTTGTTTTGTTTTGTTTTTTTTGTTTGTTTGTTTTCTGAGACAGAGTTTCTCTGTGTAACAGTCCTGGCTATCCAGGAACTTTGTAGACCAAGCTGGCCTTGAACTCAGAGAGCTACCTGCCTCTGCCTCCCAAGTACTGGGACTAAAGGCATGCTCCACCACCACTCAGTCCTGTTTGTCCCCAGGCCTGACCATTGTCTTCCTCTGAGCAGGTGCATGCAGGTAGTGCTTGACTTGTGATCCTTTGACCTAAATATTGGAACGTCAGAGTGGCGTGAGAAGCCATGTAGCCATACTGTTTTCGGTTTTCAGTGTTGCATTCCATAGATTGCATGAGATCCACACTTCGCTGCAGAGTAGGTTTTATGTTAGTTGAGTGTCTGTGCTCAACGGTAGGCCAAAACAAACGTTCTGAATATGATTTAAAAAGACTAAGCTGAAACTATGTTGCTTGGCTGGTTTTAAGTGTATTAAACACGGTTTCTACTTGATGATATTTTCAGTCTATGAGGGATTTATCATCCCAGTGAAGTAGGAGAGTCTGGATCTTTGTCCCAAGAGTTCTTTAAACAGGACACAGGGGCCCCCTGTATCAGTTTTCTATCACGGTGACAAAATGTTTAGCGCCATGACTCTAAAGAACACATACCTGGGCATACCCATCAACCCGCCTGCAATCTTTCCTCAGGCCCTCCTTGCTGAGAAACCCCAATAGAGATCACAGGCCCTGTCTGTGCTGTTATCAGATGGGAGAGGAACACCTTCACATCAAAACTCTGCCTTTGAATTTTCGTTTTGCCTCAGGACGGCAGTGAAAGTGAGAACCGCAGAGAAGCTGCCAGCCAGCCGGGTGCCTTGGGTTTCCTGTGCAGCAGGCATGCGATCCAGCGAGGTGCAGCTTTTGCTCCAGATAGCTGGGGCAAGAGGTTGGGTTGAAGCTCGGCGATAGAACGAATGTGTAGCTTGCACTCTGGCGCTGATCTCTGGCACTTCCAACATAAAGCTGGAGCAAAAAGACCCGAGCTGTGCCTCTGGTGTCTTCCCCTCCTCAAAGTCATTTATACTACCATGCTGATTGTGAAATCCAGCCGTGTTTGAACAACACAGGACCCGCTCCCCTTTCCTCCTTAGCGCTCTCTGGAGACGCTTCCACTTTCTTACTCAGTTCTCAAGCTGTATGCACAGACGTGGCTCCAGGCTCGCCATGACTTTCTATGTTCAAGTTACACATACACAAAGTACAGAGTGGCCCCCGGGACTCTGCCCTCCCCTTGAGCTGGCTGACATTTGGTGGCATATCCTTCCATCTCCTCTGTACCTTGCAAAACATGCTTCCTGTTTTGAACGAGGTCTAGAAAGGGGACAGCCCTTCCACACCTGTGTCTACACACTCAGACGCACACTTCCTCCAGTGTATTTGTACAACTTTATGGTGCTTCGCCACATTTCTCTTCTGGGCTCACGGCTCCCAGATTTTAGCCTAAAGCACACGGAGCCAGACGTGAGTGGGTATTTCGTGGAAAGCTACCTCAGTGCAGATGCTGTTCCTGATCTTTGTGTTTGGTTACGACCACGTTGCTAACTGTGCTCCTCCTTCACAGCAGAATGGAAGCCAGGGAAGGAAATCAGCTGACTCAGGAGCCGGAGTGAGAGCGGCCGCCGTTGTTGTGCACCCTCCGCCCCAGCCTGCACCATGAACTTGCCTTCACCTTCTGCGCCTTGAGAGCCACGGGAGGGCTACCTTGCTAGAGAGAGATGGCTTTCTTTACTCCCTGGAAGTTGTCCTCTCAGAAGCTGGGCTTTTTCCTGGTGACTTTTGGCTTCATATGGGGGATGATGCTTCTGCACTTCACCATCCAGCAGCGAACTCAGCCTGAGAGCAGCTCCATGCTGCGGGAGCAGATCCTGGATCTCAGCAAAAGGTACATTAAAGCGCTGGCCGAAGAAAACAGGAACGTGGTGGATGGCCCATATGCCGGTGTCATGACAGCTTATGGTGAGTGTGGAGGCACGGGGATGGCTTGCTCCGTTGGGCGTGCCTCGACTTTGGAGGGACATGTGGTCTTGTTACGGTTTGAGGATTCTCTGTTCTCATGGGCAGTGATCATATTTGGTTTTGCATGTGTATCCTTTTCATCTCTGTATTTGTATATGCGAGTGTGGATATGCACGTCAGAGGATAATCTCAGGTGCGAGTCCTTACATTTTACCTTGTCTGCACCAAAATCTCTTCTTGGCAGCTGCATGCCAAGCTAGCTGCCTCCCCTGACCCTCGGCGAGATTTTCTTGTCTCTGCCTCCCGTCTCTGTATAGACACACTGGGATTATACATGCATGCTACTGTATCTAGCTGTATGTGGATTTGGGGGAATCTGAACTCAGGTCTTCATGCTTGTCCAGCAAGCCCTTCTACGGACAGAACCACCTTCCCAGCCCACAGCTGTGCTTTAGAAAGGTAACACAGCGTTCTTTGTGGGACTCTAAGCTCCCGTACCCCTGTCCCCAGGCATGCCGGTCAGCACACTTGAGCTCTCTGCATTGTGTCTGTAGTCAGTCCCCAGTCCGTCAGCATATTTCTAGACTGTGCTCAGAGGAGTGTGTTCAGGGAATGCAGACAAACATTTTCATTATCTGTCCTTAAACAGAATGTAATTAGATGCGGGGGGGGGGACCGGGTGAGGGGGCTGATGTTTTGGATAACATCAAGGTCAGCGTGGAGCTAATAAACTGCCCTGTAGCTTTAATGTTTGATTTCTCAGGCTTTATTGTTGTCTTTGATTTTGCCCACTCTGAAAGAAATCTTCTTGTCCTCATTGCTCATTTTCAGGTGCCTCTAGTTCTTTTTAAAACGACACATGAGGGCTTTCTTAGCATGCTTGGAGCCTCTGGGTTGGATTAGTGCATAGGGGCACATGCCTGAAGATCAGATGCATAGGGCCATCCTCAGCTACGGAGGGCCTTTGTGGCTAGCCTGGGTCACATGAGACTATACACACACACACACACACACACACACCCACACACCCACACCATATATATATATTTAGACATATAAAAATAAAGTATGTATGTGAAATATATCTTATTTTTATGTTAGCAAAAGTTATGCTAAATTTAGAAAAATTGAAGGTATAAACAGAAAAACAAAAGAGGAGAATCACATAAAATTATGCTCTGCAATAAACATAATCAGCGTTTGGTGTATATTCTGATAGATTTTCCATCATCATGTGTGCATGCCCATCCATTCGTGTATCTGGGCACACGCACCACTGCACATAGTGGAAGTCAGAGGATAACAGCCTTTAGGCTGAAGTTGGTTCTCTCCTTCGACCATGTGGGTCCTGAGGATGGAACTCAGGTCATCAGGCTTGCATGGTGAGTGTTTTTACTCTCTGAGCCATCTCATCTGACCCTGATGGTGCAAAAATGCGCATACAAACACTTATGAAGTATATCCATGGCAAATGGACTTTGGGTTATACTGTCTTGGGAAATTCGTCCTCCCCGGATGCCCTTTGGTCACTGAGGATCCAGAATGACTGGGGTTTCTAGAGGGTGAGTCCTTGTTAGTCATCAAATGGAAAGCTGAGCCGTCCAACCCAGACTTCAATGGGCTCCGTGTTTGGGACTTTGGCTGTAGATGACAAATGTGGTGGTGTAGAAGAGCTGGTGTTTGCTTTGGGGCCCAGTCAAGGATATGACCTTGAGGAATAGCACTCTCATGATGATTAGAGCTCCTGCGACTGTAGCTGTGATTGGGCAGCTGGAATACAGGCTCAGTAAATCACAGGCACCCAATAGCTTGGTTCTGTGCTCTGGGGTGTGTGTGTGTGTGTGTGTGTGTGTGTGTGTGTTTGTGTGAAGAGAGGATACCCACAGCTGAGGAGCCCTCCTGTTCTTTCTCAATTCTTAGGGTCAGAATGGTCACACCATCTGCTTGTAATATATCTCTGCGAGCTTTGTCAGCAACAATCTTGGGGAGCGGGTAGCTCAGTTGGTAAAGTGCTTGCCATACTACCACGAGGACCTGAACTTGATCCCCAGTACTCATGTAAAACGACCAGACATGAACGGCAGCATGCACCTACAATCTCAGCACCAGGGAGGCTTGTTAACCAGCCAGCCTATCAGGAGCTTCAGGCTCACTAAGAGATCCTGTCTCAGTGGGGAGAGCGAACTAGGAAGGCATCCAGCATCGACCTCTTGCCTCTGTGTACATGCACACATTCACAAACACCACAGACAGACAGACAGACAGACAGACAGACACACACACACACACACACACGAGAGAGAGAGCAACAAATATGAGGTGCCCAACCACACAAGTCATATGACTCATTGATATGACTTATGTCGTCCATCAGTTTCAGAGATCAGTTATTGACAGAGAGGAAAGAATAGCACAGAACGTTGGTGTTGCATAAGTGTGATGTGGCCAGTGATAGATGCTGTCTTAAAGGTTTTAATCCTATATGTACTTTGTGTTCTGGTGGAAGCTTCACCCCAGCACCTGGTGTCCATATATCCAAAGAGTCTGGAATGTTTGGGTGGAAACTCTACTCCAAGCCCCCTCCCCTATCTCTCTCCAAACCCTCCTACCTCTCAGAAAGTCCACTGAGAGATGCTCAGGACCACTCCTACAGGGTACTTAAACTGCCCTCCAGAAAACAGGCTTGTGGTCTTCTTGCCCCAGCTCCTCTCTGGGGGGCTGGAAAATCATCCAGGAGCTTTGTAGCCTTTAAACCTGGGCCTTTTCTAATTTGGTTTGATTTGGTCTGATTTGGATTATTGTGGCAGTGGAGAGGCTTATCGGGGTACAGAAACCTTTCACTTTGTTATGCCCTTGTTGGGAAAGGGCAACGACTTAACAGTGATTTCCTCTAATCACAGTGTATCAAACTTTTTCCCTGGGCGACACAAAATATGAGCTATATATTTATAGACTTGTGATCTTGCTAGTTGTTTCTATTATGTGTTGATGAAAAGCTCAGAGTGCAGACTTCCTGCATATTTTAGAGAAAATATATCTGATCTTAGCTTTTTAGCACATATGCATGTGTGTGTGTGTGTGTGTGTGTGTGTGTGTATAATATAAAAGTAACCCAGGACTGGGGAGGTAGATAGTTTACAAGAGGACTAGGGGACCTGCAGTCAATCACCAGAAACATGAAAAAAAATCAGGCATACTTGGTGCACTATTGTAGTCTCAGCACTGGGGAGGCAGAGAAAGCTATATCCCTGGACTCGCTGGCCAGCTGACTTAGCCCACTTGGTGAGCCCCAGAGCAGCGGGAGACCCTATCTTAAACAAAGAACCAACAAGATGGATGGTGTAGACCCTATCTTAAACAAAGAACCAACAAGACGGATGGTGTTTTCAGAATAACAGTCCTACACACACACACACACACACACACACACACACACACACCTCTGAGTCTTCTGTTGGAATTTCAGCCATGTGTGTGTCATCGCAGGACATTGCATATTAAAGCACCTATAAGAATTATTTATTCCAACCCTTTCCTGTGGTGAGGTCTACTGAGACAGGGTTTCCTGGTCCTATTGATGTTTTAGGTTAGATAAGTCTGTATTTCAGGAAGATTTACTTACGTAGGGTTTTAGTTTTCTTCTGTCCCAGTTATACAGCACTCTGCCCAAAAGCAACTTAGGGAGGGAAAGGATTTATTTGGCTTACTCTTCCAGATCAGAGTCCATCATTGAGGGAAGTCGAGTCAGGATCCTGGATACAAGAACCATGGAGGAACGCCACTTGCTGGGTCACTCCCAGTCTCCATCCCTGACTCATTGATATCTTATGCCTAGATAGCTTACTTACATAGCCTTTGACCTCCTGCTATGAATAGTAACACCACAGTGGGCTGGGCCTTCCCATATCAATTAAAAAGTCCAACAGTCCCTCACAGACATGCCCAGAGAGAGAAGCTACTTGACTGAAACTCTTGCCAGGCCATTATAGGCTTTGTTAAGTGGACAGCTAAAATCACTAGCACACAGGGTAAGCTTTTAGCAGGAGATACCAGTAGCCCCTCCCTAGTTGTGACAATCAACAATATCTCCTGGTATGAGATAATAAAGGTGTTCTAACATAGATCACTGCTGTGTGGCTTTCATTTGGTTTGGTTTTGGAGTCTGGAGTTTGGTAACCTCACTGTTTCTTTGGTTTAGGATTTTGCACGCGAGTAACCAAGTGACGGTGATATTAGCTAGGGTGTGACCTAGTGCTAATCCTGGGAAGCTGGAGAGACATTCTTATGGCCCCACTTCTCCTTTAACTCTCCACCATTGGTAACATTGACAGATAGATGGCTCTGGAGAAGGCAGGAGGATCAGGAGTTCAAAGTCATCTTTGGCTACAGATGGAATTTTGGAGGCCAGTCTGAGCTACGTGAAGTCCTGTCTCAGGCAGATGCTGAGACTATGGGATGCTGTGTGGCTTAGCTGGGCTAGGTGGGTCATCTCTTGCTTGTCTGCCACAGACACAACCCATGCCAGTGTACTGCCTAGACATTTGCCCTGGAAAAATGAATAATTGATCCTCTGTGTCCAGGAATGGGTTAGCTTAAAGGGATCCCATTAGTAGATTGAATAAACTTTTCATTTGAGAAGGAACTTGATAGGAGTGAGAGGAGAATGAGAGAGAAAGAGACAGACAGAGACAGAGAGAGACAGAGACAGAGAGAGACAGAGACAGAGAGAGACAGAGACAGAGACAACGAGAGAGAGTGTATGTGAACATTACCAAAATGCATTATGTACTTGTCTGAGCTTGTGAGAGGAGAGGAAAGAGAACAGTCTCTCCTCCCATTCCCACATTGGTAGAACCAGAGGATCTTGGTCTACTATAAACAGGTAGAGTGTTCATCATTGGTTTTAGATGGTTTCTGATTCATTAGACTCCCTGCTTCCAGATCCCAGAAGAGCAGAGTTGATCATAGGCTTTGCCTATGAGCCAGGTTCACACCGCTGT